GTCCTTCATCACACACACACACACACATCTCATAAACACGAGTTTGCTGGTGAACTCAAGGAAGTTAATTATTTTCGGTATATTAGTTACTGATTTTCTTGAAAACTACTTGTGATGAAAATAAGTAGCATCATCGAATGTTACATTTGCCCTGTTACACAATAGAACTTGTGGCTGTGGAGTAAAAGGGTAACGTCGCCAGGATACCCACGACCTGGTTTCGAATCCGGTTGTTGGTGCTGAAGAGACAGTGAGGTGTATTCAATACCGTAGTCCACTTCAGCCTTCTGAGGAGCGAGGTGATGTGAAATCAAATGGCACTGTGTGAACGAATTCCACATATGTTGCCTGTGATGGTAAGTTGTATGAGCAAACAGCAGACTTTGCCTTGAGCTCGTGTTTGTCTCGCTGTTCGAGATTATGGTTCGGGCGCATGGCCGATGTTGGGCTTCTGTATATGATTCTGGGTGTGAATGGGGTTGGGGGGGAGCCTCAGCCAGGTCTTGAGATGCTGGCGTTGAGGTCAGAAGTTGTAGTCGGCCCATCAAAGCGTAGATCTCATCCGACGCCAGAGGCCTGAGGGCTCGAACAAATAGCACTCGACCCCTTCGACTTCTGCTCCCCACGGCCAAGAGGGCCTGGAGACAGACGAGCTCGCTCTTCACTCGGTCACCTTGGCGCCCCCTCAACCCGAACCGAGCGCCGCAAAGATGGCTGCCTCATCTCAAGAGGCTTATTATTAAGTTATGCCAAGCCGGAGGCCGGCCGCTTTGTTGGTGTGCCGGGGCGAAGGGTTGCGTTGGGCAAATGAAGAGGAGTAGGAGCATAATTCGATTAGACAGACTCGCCGAGCCAGCAGGTCAGTCGCTTGACTGCATTTCAGCATCAAATCGATCCTTTCGTCAGCAACGTCTACCGGAGACGGTGGAGGCTGACGGCTCCGACGGCAGGCAGTTTTCCCCGCTGGCCGAGGCTATATCGTCCGGTAGGGCGGGACATGTGGGTAGATGGAGGACGGGCAGAAGAGTCAATCGGCGGCCGTCACCGGGATCGATGCCGCCAGGATACCGATGCCTGAGAGACGGAGACGGGCATCAACTGACGACCCGGGGCACAGATACATGCCGTTTTTGCGAGTCGGCAAACCGGCCGAGGGGTGTGGACTCAAGCAGACAGCATAGGCGCGGATTACTTTTCACATGTACCCCCGCGGGCCGGAGCATATGGATATATGCGAAACAATAGGGCGCACAATGGACGATGTGTTTTGCCATTATTTGTCAGTCATACAGACCTGCCGTCTTTCTTCCATCAGGCTCTCTTAAAAGTCTACAACTGCGAGAACAGGTTGACTTCCTCTCAGACCCTCACTCTCTCGCTCTTTCTATCTATTTCGCCATTGTTCATGACAGGAAGTTCATTTTATTGGCAGCCGCAGCGAGTCGGAACACGCTAGGTTTCCTCTAGCATCGAAACGACGCACCGCCTACCGCCTGCAACTGAACGACGCTGTCCGGGAAACATGAGGAAGCATGGCAGAGGATATGCAAGAATCTGGTCAACTCTGCTTTCTGGACGACTACATGGCCATTTGAGCACGTGCGTGCGTGCGTTCGGGTGTGCGTCAAAGAAGGTTAGAGAGACGGACAAGTTGAGTCGTGTAGAAAAGGTGGGGTGGGGTGGGGTGGGGTGGGGTGGTAGGAGGTTTTAGGGAGGGCATAATCAAGTGAATCGGAGAAAAAGGGAAATAATAAAATAACCTCGGATGACTAGCCCTGCCATTATGCAATGGTCATTGGAAATCCAAGTCACTGGTAGCGTTCTGACTACAAAAGTAGCGGCTATTATGCGAGAAAGTAGGTGACTTTCACACAATCTGCGTGTTAGTGACTTGTCACACATTGCCCTGTGCGCGTGTGCGTATGTATGCCAGTAGGGCAGGCGAGCCAAGAAGGCTTGCTCACAGTCGTGCAGACACAGTCACAAGGACTCTCCGTGCTGGAGGAAGTGTGAAGAGGGGGTGTTCGGAGGCGATCGGTGCCATTCTCTAGGTTTTAGGCCAGAGTGCTTGTCTGAAACAGAGTATGAGTAAACTTAATAAAAACTTCGTCACCCCACATTGGCTATGCTTTTTTGGAGGAGCTGGTTGGAATAGAAGGAAAACAATAATACAGGGATAAAATCTCAATTTTGGCTATATTTATAATACGGTGGTAAAAGTAGGGCATGTGGAATCTCCAAAAATAACAAGTTTGCGCAAGAAGAAGCACATGTTTGGAAGGTTGATAAAAATCAAAGTTTCTACAGAAACATGTGAACTGAAAAATAAGTTAGGTCACAGAAAAGAACAAATAAATTGCCAGAGTAAATAGGCAGAATTGAGGCCTAAATAAGCAAGCAAACAATATAAATAAATTAGAAAAAAATCATTGGAAAATTATGTATTCATTTATTCATTTATTCATTTATTCATTTATTCATTTATTCATTTATTCATTTATTCAT